AATTTATTATTATTATTATTTTTTGGTACCAGGGATTGAACTCAGGACCTTGTGCTTGTCAAGCAAGTGCTTATTCTACTGAGCTATCTCCCCAGCCCTCAACTATTATCTATTAAACTTGGAGAAAACTTCAAAAATCACTTGGTCCAACTCAACTTCATTGTGTAAATGAGATCAAGAGCTACTAAGTGTCCCATCTGGGGAACCAGCAGAATAAGGAACCTTGTAATGTAAGGGCTTGTACCTCACAGCAAGGGCTCTGGAGGTTTAGGTACAGCTTTTCATGAAGAGCTCCTCCCATCTTGTTGAATTTTAGTGGCTTTCCATCCTTCTACCAATGCTACTGGACTGCAGCTACTTTAACTTCAGTGCAGTGGGTTTTCCTGTTATATGAATTACTTTGAAAGTGATCTGAATTTGAAGTACTGTTTTATTCTTTAATAATACCTTTTCTTCTCATATACAGTTACATTTTTGCTCTCTATTGTTAAGCTTTAACCTTGATGGAGATTTCCCCAGTTTTGTTCTATTCACTTTGTTCTTGAATCTCATGGGAAAACAAAACAAAGCAAAACAAAAGCCCTTGTTGTAAGGGGATGTCTCTGAAGTTGGATTCTTTGAATTTGAAGAGTGGAGAGATTTTAATAATGTCTGCTTAACTGAAATTATCTTCATCTTGAGAAGAAGATGTTATGATTTGAGTAGGTGAAGGTCATAGAGAAAGAAGGAGAGGAAAGGGATCATCTTCTCTTCCAAATGCCATCTCTGTGCTCTCATGAGATGTGTCTTCCATAGATGCTTGTTCACACCCAGGTGGTGAGGCTGATCACAGGACACAGGGAGCGCATTCTATGGATCCAGATGAGTACGGGAATCTGTCAGTTCCACCCATCTTGAGAAGCATCTGTGCTCAAGGGACATCTGCCCAGCATGCCCATCCTAGGCTGTGCCTGTGTCACAGTGCTGCTCCAGGGCTAATGTTCTTTTCATTTTCTTTACCCCACAAGTAGAGACTCTTCATATACACTAGTCTCTCTCTGATGCTTTTGTGCACTTTGTCATTTTTATTCCATATTCTAGCATAAAGTCTCTGCAGGTAGAGTCCACAGGATGGGATGCAAAATGGTTTAACAGTAATGGCCACCTCGAGTCACATACTGAATAGTGATGCACAGGAAATGTCGTGCTGCTTATGTCTGCCATGCAGGTCCCCATAAAGAATTTTCCATTACAAAAAGAAGAGTTGGTAGGATCTTTCCCATTCCAGCCAAGTGTTGGAGAATACAGATGCAGGACAAAAAAATTGCTGGCAAGAAAATAGCTTGGGGCTCATAAACAGAGAAGGGCTGCAAGTAGGTGAACAGCCAGCTGAGTTCTGCTCTACTGCTTAGAGGTACAGCAGATAGGGCAATACCTAGAGTCCATCCAGAACAATTGGATGAGCAGACTGAGATTCTTAGTTTTGGTAAATAGCAACATAGAACTTAATACAAAAGGGTGTTAAGCCAACAACGTAGAAGATTTTCACCTAAGCCATCCCCTGATGACTATTTCTTTGTAAGATGGTATGAATGCTACCCTCCGAAAGTTCATGAGTTAGAAATGGGATCCCCCATTTATGTTGATGGTATTTGGGGTGAGGCCTTTGGGAGATGGTTAACATTAGGTGAGGTCACAAGGGTAGGGGTCGCATGATGAGATCAGTGGCTTTTATAAGAAAAGGAGGAGAAATCTGAGCTACTAGGCTGCCTTGGTCTAGTCTCATGGTGCCCTTTGCCCTGTGAGGACACAGCCAGTGGGTCACACTAGATGCCAGCACCTTGACACTGGACCTCAAGGCAGATGGGAGGGTGACCTGCTGAGCTCCAGGCAGGGCCATGGGTGGAGGGTGCTGAAGGGATGGAGAGCTTGAGGGTCTCTCCCCCAACAAGGGCACAAACCCTGGTGTCAGAACAGAGCAGCTGCAGGGGAAACAGGGAAGTAGTGTGTGCTTCTTGGCCCCCACTCAAGACTCAAAGCACTGAAGAGAGTGTCATGGGAGCAGGAGCTAAGCTGAGGCTGAGTTTTGGGGAAAACTAGATTTAAGAGACAGAGAAAGGCCTGGTGCTTGGGAGTTGCAAGTCGTACCTGCCAAGAGGTGAGGAAGCAAGTTTCCAGCAGATTTGCTGGGCATAGTGAGAAGTCCCCTTCTGCATCCTTTGAATGGTCCCAGTGAAGACGCAAAGTAATGAGCAATTCATGATGCACTCAGGAGTGCCATTTCCTCTATAGCAAAATGTGGCTGAGAGCTATCAGACTGATGTGAATTTAAGCTTCCCTTAAAAGGTCAGAAAACCATGTTCCTCTCATTCTTAATTGATTCTTTCTGTTGTCATCATAAAGGCCTTGATTGGGAGAAACTTCCAGGTAATTTTAATAGATCAGAACTACTTGGGTCCATAGGCATTTCTCATTCCGTGTCTGTGAGCTCAAACAACGGGACATGTGTTAGAGGGAGGGTCACTCTTGCACACAGGACACAAGCAGTATGTGAAGGTTGGGGGTTGTAACTGGAGAGCTTCTTCCACCAAGTCACTTTCCTTGTTATGACACTTCTTCTTAGCTGTGTGACCTCAGGCACATTTCTGCATCTACTTAAATACCAGATTCCTCAATTGCAAAGTGCAGGAAACACTTACAAAGCGATTAAATGAGATAATCTCTGTATAATACTCTGCACAGTGGTTACATTTCATTTCTCAAAAACATTACTCGTTCCTGTCGCTATTGTTGATTCATTAGTAGTTTACACTAATGACAAGCTTTTTGAAAAACATAGTTAAACTTGACAATATGACCTAAACTTGAAAACATATCTCCTCTGCTTTCCTTATTATAATTGCTACAGATTCATGAGTTGGTTGTCTTGAATATTGGTTGAATTTCTTGGTTTCTTCTCTATTATTTTTCCTTTTTATCAAGACAGGGAGGGTATTGGTATGTAGTTCAGGCTGGCCTTGAACTCACTATGTAGCCTCAAAGTCATAACAATCTGTTCTCAGCTTCCCCAGTGCTGGAGTTATAGGTGTCAGCACCATACACGACTCTTCTCTATTCTTTTCCTCACTCCAAGCTATTAGTCCTTTGGAGTTTGGACACCTTGGTTCACACCCCCAAAGGTGGCTATTGATTATTTCACTATGGCTGTTGAACACTTCTCCTCTGAACCCTGTGGCTCCCTGCAAGACATCTTTGGCACATTGACCTTGGGTTATCATTGTTGGGACATCTGTCTCAGCTGCTATACTTATTGTAATTGAATGTAGCAAACAGACAAGCCTTATCCACCTTGGAAACCCTGATAGCCTCTCTGCCTGATTCCCCAGGTGATAAGGATTTAATAAGTCAACTGAGTGAATTAAGATAAAAATCAAATAAATTATTCATGGTGGGCAGTGTCCTTTGCTAAACAAGACCATTGTGTGTTGTAGTAACTATAGATGCCTGTTCCTTGGGCTGTCCCTTGGGTGTTTCTGGCTCTTACAGATCTGGGCAAGTGAGGCCACTTGCCCACTTGCCCTCCCAGTGATTTCCATGGCTCATCTCCTGGTGCTTTCTGGTTTTCTGGTGCCACTGCTGGGGTCAGAGAGGGTTGTCTCTTTCCTGCTGTAGACCTATAAGCAAAGCTCTGCCTTTGCTTCTTTTTGACATCGGGAAGCAGTTGTCTGCCATATTCCTTATGTTCATTAATTTTTAACTATTTGGGGGATGTTGGGAGAGATGTTCCTTCTGATTCCCTTGGTTCTCTACTCATAGGGACACTTGGAAGTCTCACCAGCATCCAGCTGTAGGCCCGGAGAAGTAGAGCCCCTCCTTGCACACAGCAGGTTCACTCTCCCATCTCTTTATAGATCAGAGCCTCAAAGCCTTGTGATTCTAGGACCCTGAGACTTGCCAATTAATCTGAGCCATGACCTTTGTAAATATTCATTTTCTGAGACTAAAAAAATTTAGTGGACTTCCTTATCCTTAGAGTCAGAAGAATGTGAATATTTTTCATGTAAACACAAACCTTTTTCTTCTGCAGTGAGAACACTGCCTTTTTGTCAGCACTGATAAAATAAAAGGTGCCTGACGTAATAGCACATGGGAGAGGGACTTGATGGCACTGGCCCATCCTCTTGTGTGTCATTCATGATCTAGAGCAAGTCATAATAGCTTTCACCCTACTACGTGGGGAGAAGCCCCACATCCTATCCATTGTCACACCAACACATGGCGCTGTTTGGGAGCACACACACGTACCCAGTGGTTGAGTCCAGAAATCCTGTAGCACCGGAGAGCTGGGGCCAGTTGAGCTCATCAGTAAGAGCTGTTGGCAAATTGAAGAAGGAGTTCTAGAAAAAAAAGAATAAGGAGTCATGATCAAAGTGGTCACTGGTTTTCTACAGGCAATAGGAAAGGCCATGGTCAAAGCACTGTTCTCTGACTCTCTTATATCTCTTATAATCTCACCAGTGGTCCTGGGGATTAAACCTAGGGGTCTTGCCCTTTTTATTTTGAGACACTGTCTAACCAAGTTGAGGAGTAGCCCACACTGGGCTGGAATTTGTGATTCTCCTACCTCAGTTTCCAAGAATTCTGGGATTATAGGCTGACCAATCATATCCAGCTCTGCTTCTTTCTTTGAGAGTCTTTGATGCTTAAAGCAACTTTGACCTTCACCAAAGCATTCACAACATTTGTCACCTCCTGCGAACCCCATTCTGCTCCTGTAAAGCAGGTGCAATATGTGACAGCTCACACATTTGAGAGCACTGCTTCAGCACCCAGGTAAACCTCCCACTCTTCGACTTTCAGAGATTGTCTTCATTTTTCAGTTTTGATCATCAGAAAGTTGATTGCTTGAAAAGTAACTGCCCAGAAGTATAATACCCAAGCCTGCTCAAAAATGTCTTTGTGGAGTTCAGATCTGTGCCCTTCATCAATAAGGTGGTGGCCCTGGTTTTCTGGGGGGCTACAGACATTTCTGACAATCTATTTATGTTTTCTTTCCCCCATAAAGATACACATGTACTCAGGACATCCCGGGACTGTAGGAGGTTTGTAGACCTCACTATGGCTTGAATATGTTTTGGATCCCCTGCAACTTACAGTGGAGTTTAATCTTCACCACGAGGTCTGAAGAGGTCAGATACTTAATCTACAATGATCATTGGAGGTGGGGCCTTTGGGAGCTGTTAACAGTAATAGAATTCATCTGAACTGTGCTTCCATGGTTGGTTCAAAAACACAGAAGGAAAATGTGGTCAACTATGACCTCTTTCTGCTTCTTTTATATGTGGCTTCTGGGCTGAAGTCCCTCCTGTGATCTAATTTCCAGAGACAGCTTCCCTGAGCTGGTGTGTGTTAGAAAGGACTGCCAGACTTAGCAAATAGAATTTTAGGATGTTCAGTTAAATTTGGATTCTGGAAGACAAGGAATAATTTTTGGCACTTGTACATTTCATGCATAGCTATACGAAAAAATTTATTTGTCGCTGATCTGAAATTCAAATTTAACTCAATGTCCAGAATTTGACCTGGGAATCCTACTTTGGTTAAAAACCCCAGAGACCAGCCTTTCCTTTTGCCTTGACTGAAAGGACACCTCGTTGAGTGACTTCAACAGGCCTCTGCATTTTTCCACAGTAGAAACACACTTTCTTTTAGGTGAACATGAAAACCTCCAGCTCTCTTTATGGCTTTTTTGAAGTTTGAAGTAAATTAAAGGTCATTCCTTAAGACAAATTCATGCTGCTTTCTCTCTTCCTCCCCCATGATGGTTCTGCGCCTGTCTCCTACAGTCAATTTGATGCTGGAGGAGTGAAGAGAAAAGCCAGGTTATGCATGTTTCATTAGGCCCTTGAAAATCTGCCTAAATTATTCTTTCTGATTAAAAATAGTGTATGTCTGTTATAAAAATTCAAACGTCATAGTAACTTATAATGTGGAAATAGAAGCCCCTTGTCATCTTCCCCCACAACATGACCGCTGTGGTATGGTCATTGTTAACAGTGTCACAATGTCTGGTGCAGATAAAATCTATCCTAGGTCTTTACACCCGGAGAAAACTCAAGAGGTCTTTCTATTAGAGCCTTACAGAATAATGCAAAATAATTATAGTTTGCAACTGTAGATTGCTAAAGAGTTGAATTGTGTCTCTCCAAAAAGACACCCTGAAGTCCCAGACAGAGTGTGATCTTACTGGGAGGAAGGTCCATTGCATGTGTCGTTAGTTAAGATGAGGTCATAGTTAGTTAGGGTGCATCCCTAACCCAGTGATTGGGCTTTATAATATGAGAAGCACGAGACACAGAAATAAAAACACGGGGAAATCCATATGGTAAAGGAGGCAGGGAGAGAGGTGATGCCTCAGCTAGCCAAGGAGTGCCAAGGGTGGCCAGCAACATCAGGAACAAGATCAGAGACACACAGATCAGTGTTTCCTTCAACCTCTGGGGGCGGGGGGAGTCAACACTGCCCATATCTTGACCTTGGATTTAGCCTCAGGGACTCTGAGATGATACAGTTCTGTTGTTTCAAGCCACTACTTGTTTTGGGTGCATTAAGAAACTAATATGTGACCTGAATTGAATAATTTGATTATAGTTCTTATCTAGATGGCTGAGATATAAACCTTTCACTATGATGATTTACCTTTCACCTAAGACAAGTGCGCACCCCCAAATTTAAATGCAGCCAGTGTCCTAGGATGCCAAGTGCATTTTCTTTTTTTGTTTCATAATTTTATTGAGAAACAAATAACAATGAGACAGTTTCAAATCAAATCGCTAGGACAGTTTCAATAACTAACACACTGCATACATTCTTCTTAGTGGTTAACTGCTGTACAAGATGCAGACTTGAGATCCTCTTTGCAAACACCATTAGAACATATCATTCTATTCATTAACATAATATAACTATATATCTATCCTAACCACTTTGAATACACAGATACAAAATGGACATTCATCTGTATCCCCTTTTTTTGTTAAGTTCCGTTATTTGAATATTATAGGTGTGTAAACTCAGCAAAATATTCTAAAAGAGTCCAGTAGCGCATAATAGCATTGGGTCTTCCGTTTAACTGGCAATGTCAGAAATTGTTGACCTGAGTCCCCTACAGCTCAACATAACAGCATGGCTTTACTTCTTCTTTTTTTTTTTTAAATTTTATTGATAAACAGATAGCAATGAGACAGTTTCAAATCCAATCGGAAGTACAGATTCAACAAATAACACACTGCATATATTCTTCTTAGTGGTTAATTGCTGTACAAGATGTGGACTTGAGATCCTATCTACAAACACCATTAGAACAAATCATTCTATTCATTAAGAGAATGCAATTATATATCTGTCCTAACCACTTTGAATACACAGATACAAAACGGACATTCATCTGTATACCCCATTTTTTCTAAGTTCCGTTATTTGAATATTATAGGTGTGTCAACTCAGCAAAATATTCTAAAAGAGTCCAGTAGCCCATAATAGCATTGGGTCTTCTGTTTAACTGGCAATGTCAGAAATTATTGACCTGAGTCCCCCACAGCTCAACATAACAGCATGGCTTTACTTCCTATATTTCGTCTTCATACTTTTCTACTGGATGGTTAAGACCAAGGTAAAGCAGGACCTGTGCAACAAGAGTTGTAGCTTTTGGGTCTGAGAAGGTCAGTGAATTTCCCTCAGGATTTATCCTGAGCCAAGTGCATTTTCATGGAGCTCTGGCTTCCTCTGCTCCTCCTACCTTAATAACTATCTCCTCCCAAATGCCAAACCTAAGATCCCCATCCTGCTCTTATCCCATGTGTGGCTTCCAGCTTGGTGGAGACCAGAGGAGTAGTCAGGAAGCATGGCTTCCTGGGAGATGCCTGCGTTCAGTATAATTTATGCTTCAAAGGAACAGAAACAACCTCATTGAAAGAAGCCTTCCAGTGAATCTCAGAGGACGCTGGAGTTCCAAAGGCTGATACTTTGTTACCCTTTGGTAGCTGGCACCCATTGCTTTCTGCTCAAAACGCTACCACTGCCATGACTCAGCTGCTCTCTGTGCTGTTACTTGTGTTGGCACCATGAGCAAAACTTTCCTCCGCCTTTTATCTTTTACCTACACCCCTGTCATCTTTCTGCTTATAATGAGTATTTGCTGTAGGATTTGAGGATATTCAGTTCTGCCAGGAAGGACAAGAAAAACAAACAGGATGGATGTAACTCATAAGCTGTGTTAAGGGGAGATAGTGAAGAAGCAGGAGGGCTGGAAGGCGTCAGTGGAATCCATGAGCCGTGTTCTGTCAGTCAGGCACCCATACAGTTTTTCAGAAAGGAAGTGAAAGCTGCAGTCCTGGCCCACCTCTCCCTCACGCTGACTGCCATCTGTGCAGTGATGACTGCAGGATTGGAGCTAAGTTTCTGCTTCTGCACGAGGCAACTCTGCCTTCCCCGTGAAGGAGGAGGTCAAGCCCTCTGCAGGCATAGAGGGAACCATGTCTAATTCCCTCTCTAGGTAGAAGTAATGGTGCAGGAGTGGGAATTCTGAGTATACTACCAAAGTGGGGAATGTGCTTTGCCTTGGGAACCAGAGGTCTGTCTTTTCTTTCTGATGCCCCACACAGGTGACAAAAATATGACAAATACTTAAATTAAAATTTATTATGCCGAAAGACACATTGACATGATGTCTCCTCAAAATACTTCTCTCTCTTTGAACATACTTGTCCCATCATTCCTACCACTTTCTGAAGTAGTTCTGAAAGTCCTCTTTCATGATTATCTTTAATTGTGTTGTCCTGGTTGCCTCAATGTCCTAAATGAATTTAATTGTCTCCTTTTTATGGCCATTTTGACTTTGGGGAAGATCTAGAAGATGAACTGGGGAGATCCAGTGAACAAAGTGAAGGGGGCTACACTATGGTGTCTATGAGCCTGCCTTTCTGTTGGATAACACTGGGCAGCAGCATTCACTGTATTTTGGATCATACTATGTAAAGACATTTGTGAAAAAAGGCTTTCAGGACTGCTTCTGAAAGTGTCATAAACAGTGGCGGGGCATGTTTGAAGTGAGGGGCATTCATGATAATGTGACCTTCACCATAATAAAATTTTAAACATTCACCGAATAGTTGGATCACTGCTTTTGCAGGAAAACTCATGATGTGGATACACCACCATTGTAGATGGGTCCATGCCCCATGCAGTGGTCGTTCTCAGGTGGCTGGTAAAGTTCTTGTCTCCAGTGGGGGGGAGATGGAAGGGTAGCTACTTGGGGAAGTGGTATGTCATTGCATCTTTGGAATTGGGGTCCCCACATCCCAGTGTTCTCTAAGTTCAATCTCTCTGACCATTCTCA